CCCCAAAACCCCAAAACCCCAAAACCCCATTAGTTTAAATACACCTGAATTCAATTGATAAATAGAAATATCTTTTTTCTTTAATAAATATTAAAAGAAATCTTAAATGGAATCTTAGGATAATTAAGAAACTAAAGTTTAAAGAAAATATCCTCATAGAATAGATGATAATGTTGCTATCTGGACTGAATTCAGGGAACTAGGGGATAGATACTCTTGTCTATCACTAGGAGAAGGTGCTCCAGGTGGAAATCCTCCTGATTTCTTAAAAGATTTCATGATTAAAGCAATTGATGAAGGCTACAATCAGTATTAGAGAATATTCGGAATACCTGAGTTCGTAAACAAAATAGCAGATGTTTATGGGGAGAAACTTAAAAGATAAATCAACCCAATGACTGAGATTATGGTCACTGCTGGTGCTAATTCAGCTCTTAATAGTTACATTATCGGTCTCATTAATCCTAGAGAGGGAGAAGAAGTGCTTGTCTTTGAGCCATGCTTTCCTTAATATCAAGATCACATCTAAATGGCTGAAGGAGTATACAAAGCAGTTCCACTTGAATGGAAAGAAAACAGATGGACTTTTGATCCTGAGGTTTTGCGAAAAAGCTTAAATGACAAGACTAAGATATTCCTTCTCAATAATGCTCATAATCCAACTGGAAAGCTTTTCAACAGAGAGGATCTTTAAATTTTGACAGATATCCTTAATGAATTCCCACATGTCATAGTAATTAGCGATGATGTTTATGAGTTCCTCACCTTTGATGATCAACAATCTTCAATCTTATTTGCCTCGATTGGGAATAACTTTGAAAAGACTGTCTCCATCTTTAGTGGAGGCAAATTATTCTAGGCAACTGGGTGGAAAGTAGGTTGGTCTATCGCACCAAATGAAATTTTGAGTAAGGCCGCAATAATTTAATGCTGCACAACCTATTGCATTAATGCTCCAGCATAAATAGCTATGAGCAGATCTTTCGATTTGATTGAGACTATGCCTTACACAGAGGGAAGGACATTCGTCTAAAATATGAAGAAAGAATTTTAAGATGTTCGAGACTTTTTCATCTCTCAATTCAATAGCATCTCTCAAGAGCTTCCTGTAGTACCATTACCTAGCGAAAGTGGATACTTCTTGATGATTGATATTACTAATTGCAAAAAGATTATACCAGAAAGATATCTTAAATCCCATGATTTTGAAGAGCTTAAAGAGGGGTAATCTGCTGTTTCAAGAAATATCGTGTACATGCCCGATGGATCAGTCCCATTAGATTTAGCTTTCTGCAGATGGATGGCTGTTGAAAAAGGAGTGATTATGATGCCAGCCTCGTTATTTTATCACAAAGAATCTCCTATCAGAGATGACAAATATGTAAGAATTGGAATATGCAAAGGATTAGATCATTCAAGAAAAGCTTTTGACAGAATCAAAGGAAAACAGAAAATGGATTGAGGAACAATTTTTCAATTCTATCAAATCATAAATAATTCTTTAAAACATCTAACTATAGAAGTAGAGAATTTCAGAATACGGGGTTTTGGGGTTTTGGGG